CCCGAGCAGCCCCGATCCCGGGAATCCTCCTCACCAGGTCCCCGACGGTCTCACGCAGCTCCCGGACCTTCTCCTCCAGGTCCAGGTTTCTCTCAGTCAGAGTCTCCACCATCTCCTCAGCACCCAGAGCTGCATCCACCTGCAATCCAATCCAATCCAATCCAATCCAATCCAATCCAATCCAATCCAATCCACATCCACATCCATTCCCTTGCAATCCAATCCAAATCCACATCCCAATCCATTCACATCCCAATCCACCCACCTGCAATCCAATCCAAATCCACATCCCAATCCATCCACCTGCAATCCAATCCACACCCACATCCACACCCACATCCACACCCCAACCCGCCCCCCTGCCATGACACGCATGCTGATCCATCCCTCTGCAACCCAACCCAAATCCACCTCCCAATCCATCCCCCTGCCAGGACACACATCCCACTCCATCCTGGAGCTCGGCACCACAGCCAGCAGCTCCCAAATCCTGTCACAGCCGTGGGATGTAGGGAACTGGCTATAGAACACGGCTTGCCTAGGCCGTGGGAACATCTTAGATAGCGAGGTTACAGTGCCCTTGTACCCTGTTAGCTGGCTGGTAAACAGGACACTGTGATTAGCAAAACAAAAAGCAACTGAGAACCACCTGTGTCAACAAAGAAAAGGAGTAAGGGATGAGATCAACATTTAAGCAGAACCAATAATGAGCTTAGCTTTTGCAATATGTATGAACTAATTATAAAGCGTATATTAAGCTGTTAGCAATGATCAATAAACGAAGCTTGCTGATTCTCATATTGAGCATCACTTTCTTCCCTCGTCAGGACAGTGGGATCCCTCTGCCAGGCTGTGGCACGTGGCTGAGGAACTCCTCGCCCCATCCTGGGCTGAGGGCAGGGCAGACAGTGCTCAGCTCCCTCCTGGGAGCAGGGAAAAGCATCCCTCAGGAGAGCAAACCCATCCAGACCAGCTGGCAGCTCCAGGAGGAAGACCCCACGTGGGAAGAGCCTTGGCTTTGGCTCCTGGAGCTGTTCCTGGCTCCTGGGCTGTGGCTGGAATTCCAGCTCAGTTGACAGTGGCCACATGGAGCAGCCCTGGGAACACGGAGCACCATCCATGCCCAGTGCTCAGGAGTCATCCCATGGCCAGGCAGAGCCCTGCACTGCCCCACTGCTGGAATATGGCTTGGAATTAGGGAATATGGGACCAGGGGTGTATCACCACGGCATCCCTTTGTGCAGCTCTCCAGGAGCTGCCCCAGCAGCTGCTCAACGCCCCAAATGGCCCCAAAGGGCCCCAAATGCCCCCAAACCTCCCTTCCCACCTCCTCCCCAAGGACTCACCTGCTCCTTCAGCTCATCCACCGTCTTCTCCGCCTGCTTCACCTCCTCCTGCAGCTTCTCCCGCTGCTGCCGCAGCGACTCCAGCTCCGTGTTCTTCTTCTCCATCTGCTTCTGCAGCTTCACGTGCTCCTGCTTCTCCGAGGCCGACAGGTCCCTCATCCTGGGACAGCCACGGCTCCGTCAGGGCCCAGGCAGGGACAAGGCCCTGTTCCCTCCCCAGACACTGCCCAGCAGCAGGAATTCCACGGGCTGCTCCGGGGAGGGCCTGGGGGAGCACGAGGGGCCTGGGAAGGAGCTTTGGGAAGCAGAGCTGGGCTCCCACCTGACCAGGGCCTCCTTGAGCCGGGCGTTCTGCTCCTCCAGCTGTTTGACCTGGTAGCTGGATGCTGCTCCATCAGAGCCTGCGGAGCAAGGGAAGAACCATGGGATCACAGCATCCCAGACTGGCTTGGGTGGGAAGGGACCATAATTTCCACCCAGTGCCACCCCTGCCACAGGCAGGGGCACCTTCCACTAGATCAGGTTGCTCCAACCTGGCCTTGGACACTCACAGGGATAGGGCAGCCACAGCTGCTCTGGAAAAATGCATTCCAGGGCCTCCCCACCCTCCCAGGGAGGAATTCCTTCCCAATATCCCACCTAGCCCTGCCCTTGGCAGTGGGCAGCCATTCCCCCTTGTCCTGTCCCTCCCGGACCTTTTCCGAAGCCCCTCTCCCGTCCCACCTTTCTCCTCGATCTCGTGCTTGAGGATCTCCAGGTCCATGGTGAGATATTCCACCTTCTCCTTGAGGGAGTCCACCTCCTGCTGCAGGGACTCGGCGCGCTCCTCGGCCATCTCCTTGTCCAGCGTGGCCATCTCGATGGCGTCGGCCGTGTCCGCCATCTCCTCCATGTACCGCTCCTTGGCCTCCAGGGCATCCTTGGCCTCCTGCGGGGCACAGGGGTCAGGGCACCCCGGGACAGCCTGGGCACACCCCACAACGGGCCCCAGGCCGTCAGTGTCCCCTGGGGCTCTCCCAGACGAGGTCAAATCCAAGCAACACCAGCTGATCTGGGATGAGAGGGGCCGGCCCATGGGCAGCGCTCCGGGGTGTCCCACTCCCCTCCTCCCTGCTCCACCCACAGAGAGCACGGCAGGAAAACCACCTCCAGGTGAGGATGAAGGCATGGAGACAGGGAATACTGGAGCAGACAAATAAATCCTTAGGGGAAACAAACCAGGAATCCACCCTGGAAAAGCAGGGCAGGGAGAAGGAAATGCTCCTTGGCTGCTTGGATGGAGTCCTGGGAACTGCAGGCACAGGTGCCAGGAGAAGGACACCTGTCCATGGGGAGAGGGGGGGAAAGGGAGCACCTGGAGAGAGGGGAAGCACCCAAAGAGAGGGAAGAGGGGAAGCAACATCCCACCTGCCTCAGCCCAATTCCCAAATAAACCTGATGCTGATCAGGAGCAGAGGAAGTGGCCTCAGGTTGTATGAGGGGAGGTTTAGGTTGGATACTGGGAAAATTTCTTCATGGAAAGGCAAGCAAGGCTGGAATTCACCCTGGAGTCACCTCTCCCAGGGACACTCACTGACCTTCTTGGCCTCCTTCAGGCGCTTCTGGAGGTCGGCCTGCTGCTCCTGCATCTTGCTCTTCCATTCCTGCACCTGCTCCAGCTGGATCTTGTACTTCTCCAGCTCTTTGAGCTTTGCCTTGTCCTCATTCCGTTTGATCTTCAGTGTCTCCAGCTTCTCCTCCAGGTCCCTGACCTGGGCACGGAGATTCTCCTCCTCCTGCAGCAGCAAGCCAAGAGTTAGGAAAGGAGCAGGGACACCCCTTGGACAGGGTTCTGGGGACATTCCTGGAACCTCATGGAACCTGGCCTGACTTTTGGCATCAAGTTTGGGGCAGTTTAAGAGAGGGACAAGGGCCCGGAGTGCCAGGACAAGGGGGAATGGCTTCCCACTGCCAGAGGGCAGGGCTAGATGGGATACTGGGGAGGAATTCCTCCCTGGGAGGGTGGGGAGGCCCTGGAACGGATTTTTCCAGAGCAGCTGTGGCTGCCCCATCCCTGGCAGCGATGCCTCTGGCTCCCCCTGAGACGACCCTGCACTCTCCACTAGCACCTGCTCAATCCCACTGCAGCATCCAGGTCATTCCCAGGTGATCTGCCCCCAGGGAAAACTGATCCAGGTCCTTCTTCAGCAGCTCAGCTCCCAGGACAGGGAAAGGCTGAGCCAGCACAGCAGGACCCAGGGGAAGGGCTGCAGGGATGAGGGGATGTGACCCTGCTCCCTGGCAGCAGCTTCATGGATAAAGCTTCAACTGCCAAAGCTAGTGACAGCGAGGAACAGGTCTTGGAAAAACCCTACACAACATGGGAAACCCCCCC